ACTCCAGGTAAATAACATAGATTCAACTTTTACTGTACAATTGGAATAGAAAAAGAGCTTTACATTTGGTGCAGTTCTGGTATCATTAAAATGGGCCTGCAAGTATCATGTAGTGAATACTTTCACAAATTACATTTAATGTGTATGAGAGCCGAAATCTCTTTCTCAGGGCTAGAAAACAGAAGGTCATTTGTCTAGATCTCTGAATTGACCTAACTACTAAGGTATTTTTATAAACCTAGGTAGGTGCATGTTGGTTGATATTCTTAATGAGTAGTCTTATAGTTTGATTATTTATTTCCTATTAACTTTCAGTAAAGGAAATCCAAGAGCTAGTGGAATACTGGAAAACTGGGACGTGCAAGTGAGATCTGCCACCAAAGCAGATTTCAGTGCCTCTGTTTTAATGTCTCTGTTGCAGCTTCAGTTTTACTTTCTCCCATTCAAGCATTACCTGCTGGTTTATTTTCATCTTACAATGTGCATAAATGGGAATTTATGTGGCATTGGTGTAATCTTTATTTTTATCTTAATTTTTTCCCCCTGGTTGTAGTTTGCGTAAGTAAATTTCTGCCTTGCTTATAGTCTGATTTCACTGTTTTATCAGTATTGAAAAAGAGCATGTGCTAGCAGTAGAGAATGTGCCCATCAGCATGGGATGTGAAAATTGTGTTCTATTCCTAACAAACCCTAGTCTTTGCATAGCTGAAAACTTGTGAGTCCCCTGCAGTGTTATAGATTGAAGTTTTCCTAATGATGGAATGAAATGTTTCAGATTCACCTTCAAAATTCCAGAGAGAGGGGTTCCCTTAGTTAACAATTACTAAACTAATTGTGTGCCAGCCCCTAAGGTTTCACTGTTACTTTGATTGTGCTTACACTCTACAAGAGTAAAGACTTATTTACTTCTTAGTATGTATGCTGTAGTATTGTAGAAGCATTTTTGAGTATAGACTTTCTCATCAATGGGTAAAGGCAGTAAAAAGGAGGAAAAAGCTGTTAGCACCTGTAGGGTAGGAATCATGCTTAGACAAATAAAAGCTATCAAGTGGAACTGTGGAGGCTGAGGACTGCAGTGGTACTGTTGTTGTGCTCCAGTGTTACTTGCATTGCTGCAAGTGCTGTACATGTGTGGCCAAGGGAGACCTGAGCAGTTTTCCTGGGTGCTGCTCTGAATTTTGGTTGAGGCTTATGCTCTTCTGTTAAAAAAAGCATTCACTGAGACTGAGGATTCAGAGCAAACACTCTTCCCTGCCAATCTGAAAAGGTAGGTTTTGCACAAGTAAGGGTGGCTGCTGGAAAAGGAGCAAATTCCCATTACATTGTGCTGACACTTGGTGTATTATTTAACCAAGAAGGTGAGGTTGGCTGTGGAAAGAATGTGCTGGATTGTCTTACCCACAAAGCTGACCATGACAGCTGTAAATTGAGGTGATGAACCTAAGCATGTGACTACCAGATGTCTTTGTGTTATTACTCACTGGGTAACAGTGGCATGCATTTAATGTGGAAGGATTTTTTCTCGCTTACTCTAGAGCTTTGTGATTGTAAAAATAATTTATCCTTTTAGGCAATATAGTTGAATAATGCTGCCTGTAGCTATATCCATAAATTTGCATAGTGGAGTCTTGGTCCATGCTTGCAATTATTTTAAAATTTGGCATAACTTCTGCTGGTTTTCAAAACAAAACAGGATGTGAAATACCCACAGATAATGTCAGAAATCTTTAGTTACATACCTATATTTATACTTAATAGGATTGAAATGCAGATCTTAGGTACTTCAGCGAAGCTCATATTTTGCTGCGTAATCTTCCTTTGAGCAATAAAAGGTCTGATCTTACAGTATTACTGCTAAGGTGTATTGATTGTTGCATCCAGAAATTGCATCCATAAGGTTTTCTGTCCTTCTGTCGGGGTTAGCCTTAAAACCCCTGTTGCTCCCATCCTGCCTGCTTTTTCAAGCTGGGCTTTTCACCAGAGGCTCAAGGAGCCAGGACCTCTTATCCTTCTCACCACTGCAGCAAGAGGATACCTGGGTGGCAGCACTATTCTTTGCCTAAACTGGTCAGCTTAGGAGATGGCTATTTACTGCAGTAGTCTTGGTGACCATTTGCTAAGACTTTTTTCCAGTTTAATTTCATTTACCGATGAACAATACTTACCGAGCGCTTCATGGAGAAACTTGATGAAGAAGCTACTCATCTCCTGTAATACAATTCCATATGGCAGAGCATAGCTACTGTGATAATGTGGGTTTATTTACATTTTGTATATCTAATTCAAATATTTTGACTTTAGCCTTAAGCATCCTTATGTTTGAGAAACTGGAAGAACAACTCTGAACCCTTCAACAAAAAGTTGGTGCTGATTTGGTAGCAAGAAAAGTAGAGTTTTAGAATATCCCCCTTAAAGTATTTGTAAGCATAGGAACCTGCATAAGGCTATTCTCCTGTCAATTCACGTGGGTGCTGTTTGATTGTTTAATTTTTTTTCTTTCTAGGTCAGGTGGATATGTTGTACTCTCTGTTTTCTGATAGTCCTTTGGAGAGAGAGAGAGAGATGATTAAATTTTTTAAT